AAAACATCCCTGTATTATCAACACTGTTTCTAGCACAAATCCAAAACATAGCCCCATACTAGCTACTGTGAAGAAAATTAATTCTATCCCAGCCAAAACCAGCACACCATGGTCAAGAGGAGAGTTTAGATTTGGGGTGCCAACATTCACTGGTGGGATCAGATAAGGCCACACATTTGAGATGAACACCAGTAGGTACACATCTGCCATGCAACACCAGCATAACACTTTCTGAGAGCTCATACTGACAGTGGAATACAATACGTTCCCCTTCTCCTTCACCTCTAACTGGTTGGTGAGGTTTGGGATTGGCAAACTCCCTGCAGACATCATCTCTCTGAAGCTATGCGCAGCCATGGACACGATAATCTGTCCACAATAATCTGCACTGACAGCATAACGAAGGTGGTGTGTGGCCTATTATATGATGGGACCACTGCCAAGATTTCCATGCCCGGTTGTGTCTCCTGAGAGGTTCCTATCCAGATATAAGCCACAATGACTTCTGTTACCCATTCTGCAAGTCCTAGTGAAACACTGTTTAGGAGGGCACTTGCAGCTGTGAGGCTGCATGCATACTGTGCTGGTTCATGCACAGGTTCCCCCATTCTTCTTGACTAAGCCCAGAGTGGGCTGACCTCAGGGCAATGCTGGACTATGGCTGACAATAAGAAGAATGAGACGGCACCTGCTGCCTTGAGGTTGACCAAGCAATGCAGCTGGGGTGGGAAGCATGCATGGTGTATTACTGTGCTGGGAAGAGTGAAAAGGCTATGAGGCTGTAGCAACCACTTAGTACCATGGAACATCTATAAAGTCATCTTCTTGTACCTGTGGTTGTTGACTCTGAGTGCTTGAGCACTTGTGTGTGTGAATGAGGAATGGGATTTCTTTGGCGTGGGCAATTGGTGTCAGTTTCTCTTCCTCTGCCTCTGACTTTAACGCTAAATCTGTTGATTTAAATATCTGAGGAACTGGGCACATTGGTCCCAGAGGCTGTGTCTAGCAAGTCGCACTGTGGCAGGACTCTACTTAGACGTCTGATGAAATTTGTCACCTAAGCCACCACTATTCTGAGTTACACGTAACCTGGATTAGCATCATAAGAATTGAGATTGGCAGCCCTGAAATGTTTGAATTAAAAGTGGCACTGCTTGATATTGTGCCAGCAACACACAGCCGTGAGCTGCCAGGCTGTTGCCAAACAGGGTGAAAGCACTCCCATTCCTGTGCCTGCTCCAAACATATGGAGACCAAAGTGACAATGAGAAAATCACTTTAACGCAGCTTTTCTCTGCATATATCATCCAGGAGCTAGTAACTCACAGTTTGGGAGGGTGAATCCTATTCTGTCTTTAGTACATGGGAGAGAGAAGATATTGTGGGATAATACTTCTGGTGAAGTGCATTTGCTTAAAAAACTTTTACTGCGTTGAAGCCATAATAATAAAGAATAGTAAGTATAAACTATTGTAGCCATTACAAATCAGTGATGTATTTTGTGCAAGGAGTCATCAGTTAAGTTTCCATTTAAGTTCAAAGAAAGGGATAGCCCATATCATTGCAGAGTTTAAACTGGAGATAAGCAATTACACAGGCTCTCGGATGCACTGAGTTGTGTCTACTGGCAAATGACTGAATTGGGTCTGGCATCCTGGTTTCTTCCTAAACTGGCCAAAAGCCACTTAATTTTCCTGGCACAAGGTAGCAGTACTGCAATTCTCCCTCCGTGTCTGGGTGCAAGCCTTGACCCCAGCCCGCTTGCAGCAGCCAGGAGAAGGAAAGGTGCCACGGTCTTCTGATGGGGTGGGCTCTGCCATCCGTCCTGAGAGTCACCTTCAGCACTGTCCTGGTTTCGGCAGGGATAGAGTTAATTTCCTTCCTAGTAGCTGGCACAGTGCTGTGTTTTGGATTTAGGATGAGAACAAAGTTGATAAGCACCGATGTTTTAGTTGTTGCTAGGTAATGCTTACACTAGTCAAGGACTTTTCAGCTTCCCGTGCTCTACCGACTAAGAAGGCTGGAGGTGCACAAGAAGCTGGGAGGGGGCACAGCCAAACTGGCCAAAGG